CGCAACCCTAAGATCTTTGGTAGAGTTCAAATTCCCGGGACTTCCGTCACAGTCAGTCGCAGAAATCGCAGCAAACATCCCACAGGATGCTACATTACGTGTCCCTCCTTTGCAAACACCGCTAACGCGAATAGAGCGACAAACAATAGATCATTGTCACTTGGTATAAAGTCATATTCAACGACCACCCGACCTTATAGCCGAACAAAAGCGGGCTCCAAAAAAGAGAGTCCTGACTGTCGTGCAGAAATGTCTCCGAATCTACCGCCATCACATTGCGGGATAACTTGTCTGACGACCAAGACCAGTGCATTTTGAGAAACGTATAAGCCAAACCCCAAACATAGTGAGAGTTACTCGTCATCCGAACTCTTTAAATTATGGGGAACCCAGAAGTATTAAACTAAAGCGTGCGTGGTCTTTGAGTCAGAAAACGTTTTACTCTCTGCAAGCGCACTAAAACACGGGTCTTGTAAGATACGCATCTATCCAGAAGTCCCAAGGAGCATGTGACAATCGATAATGAGCATCACAGAAGGACACATTAAGCTGGAGTGTCTAAGCACAATCTTTATTTTTGAAGTGTATTCACTTCCTTCCCGCTATAGTCATGAGGCCGGTAATCACGAATTCGAACAGTGAGGGTTCAATCGTGAAACACTTTTCTTGGACAACGGTGTGGCGCAATCGCTCAAAAGGCTGCTCTCACCAAATTATAGAGAAAGCGGACTAAGTATCCTAAGACTCCTGGTTCAGTTAGCGCAGACAACAACGGAAATGTTAGAAACTTAGCAGCGACATCGGAAATGTTTTCCATCTGAACTTCGGTCAAACGCTCTTGAAGCGTTGAAAAGACCAAGCAAGCGCCTACCGGGAAAAAGCAAACCTACCAGCGACTATGCAAGAGTAGCCCATTGCTGCTCGTTCAAGCGATTCCGCATATGTCTGGAAGAAGGATGGGTACTACCTGGGACAAATCAATTAGCAAACGATATAGCACCATGAGCCCATAAAAAACAAATAAAAGCCGCTTTTGCATTAGTAGGCATTCTACCATAATAATCTCAATTAGCTTCCTGTAGGCGCATAAAGTATGAGAAGATATCCTGCCTTTATACCAATGCTCAAAGCCTTTTCAAGAAGTTGGCCGAAACGAAAGATCGCCAAATTTCGTAGCCATGCGGTGTCGTCAATGTCACTGGGACATGGTTACCTACTGGAATGACAGACGCTGAAGTTTCGCTGCGGGGCATGCCACTCATACGAAAAGTCAGGCCTACGAAAGGAGAAGGGGTTGCTATTTATTACTGAAGTGACTTACATTGCGAGGCTGTTGAGGATTCAGACTCACAGTTTGCTGATTCTCTTTGATGCCACCTGCAGTTAAATGGCAGTAACACCTGTCTTATATATTTGGTTTATCTCCCACTTAAATCTACACCCAAAATGCACTGCCACCTTCCGACAGATTTAGGTTGCAATCTAAAGCAAAATTACACCCACTTCAATGTTATAGGTGATTTCAACGTATGCTGTTCAGCAACGCCTGCTACAATCGGAGAACAATTCATAGCCTATCCTCAGTCGCTCGTAACAAGTGTTTACCTTTACAATCACGTCATCTTTCCCACTCGTTTCAGAACCGGTATAGACCAGCTTCACTGGATTTTGTTTTCACCAACGAGTAACACATGATTGAAATACTGGTTATAGACTACGTACGGGTCGTTGTACTCACGCCGTCCTCAGCCTTGATTTCATCTGCTCTGCGGAATATCGTCTGGAGAAACCTGTGTTGGTTCGCACCATTACATGCTAAGATAGCATTTCCCAGATTGTCAGAGTCACAATCCCGTATTTCCTCGATGCAGGCCACTCGGAAGCCGCTTGGCTTTAATCCGTCAGAAAATTCAATCAAATAGTTACGAATGCCTCAGAGACATGGGTTCGCAGTAGACCTAAAACCGTCTCTTTCCTAAGGAACAGAACGGGAAAATGGGTGACTGTAATCAAAGCAGCCTTGCGAGAATACAGATCAACACCAACGCCAGATAATTGAGATAACTACGTTGCCCATCGGAAGTACCGCACTCAACTGTTTAGAGATAACGTAGTTGCATATTAGTAGAATATGGCGAAAACTTTCAGCGCTAACCATAAACTGCTGTACAGATATATCAATGGCTGTCGTAAGGTGAGACAGGTAATTCCTCCTCGACGGAGGACTGTGAAAATAACAAACGCTTTGAGGATGTAATATAGTCCCACATTTAATAGTGTCTTAAAAACAGGGCTTTTCCAGCTTTTGTTTTTCCGCATTCAGGACTCTTTACTGCCGAAGCTGGGTCTCAGAAGCTGACGACTCTCTGCAACCGCAGCTCCCCGGGAGTCGACGCGAGTTTCTCTGAAGCACTGTGAGAAGCAGCGAGACAACTGGCAAAACCACAGGTTCAGTTCTTTAAGCGCTGCTTAGAACAGAACCAGCTTCCTACGTGGTGGTCGTTTGGAATAATAACTCAGATTCACAAATGCGGAAGCAGGACTGAGCCGTAAAACTACCTCCCAGTCTAGCTTCCTGTATTATCCCAGGTCATGTATTCCATCGTTGCCGATGCGTTGTAGTGTTATCTACAAACTGTAACATTATTACTCCCAAGTGCCACTGTCTTCTTCCATAGAGATCTTGCACAACGAATTTATTAATCGCACGTAGTAGTTGGACCGAGTCAGCTGACGCTGGAGGGGCCATTGATATAATCTGCTTGAATCTGTCGAAAGTATTTCATCATTTAGTCATCGGACTCTTCTTTCTAAGCTTCAAGATTAAGGGATCGGTGTCCCTCACTTGAGCTGGATCGCAACCTTCTCCTGAAATGACAATTAATTGTCAGAGTCTCGAGTTCCTTGCCTTACCAGTCGAATCTGGTGTGTCCCAGGGCTCAGTTCTAGCGCCAGGATTGCTTTCGGTATTCATCAATGACCTTGCACGGATAATCGCTTTTAATTTTTTACTGTTTGCTGACGATATCAAAACATAACACCGGATTCAGGCAGATGCCGATCAGAATATACTTCAATGTGAGCTAGATAGGGTACATCAGTGGTCAACCCAAAATATGCTCCAGTTCACTGTAAAAAAATGCAACATACACTCCATACGGCATCAAAGTACCTATACCTACAAGCTAGGAACGCAAGTACTGCAGCGATCATCCGTCAAACGAGACCTTGGCGTGATGGTTCAGAATATCTTGGATTGCTCCAAGTACTCCGCAAAAGCGTCGAAAACTGTTAACCAACACTCCGGCTTGCTACGACTGCTGTTCGGGCAAATAGACACAACTATTTTCAGACAGCTGTTCAGTACGCACTTTTGCCCACATCTTGAATACGCAGTCTTAACCTGGCAACCATGACTGAAGCACGACCCTACTGCACTGGACCAACCTCAAGGTCCGGCTTCCGAATACGTCATTGAATTGTACCACCTTCCAAGCGAGCAGAGGCTGAAACTTTTGGGATTATTAAGCGGGCGATATCACCGACTACGAGGCAACTTTATTTTGGCATACTAGTTTTTACACAATCAAAATCATGTGTGCCGCTCTTTACTGCGACCCAGCAGTAACAGAAAATCTAGAGGCCACTCCTTGAAATTAGCCGAACAGTACAGCCGCCTGGAGTGCTGTAGAGATTTCTTTTCTATTCGTGTGTATCAACCATGGGACGCTATCCCCGAAGCGATTGTTTCTGCACTCACAAAAAGCCATATTTAAAGTCATTTAAAAGACACAGATGGCCACTTACATGTTGTTACTTGACACTTTGTCAATCCTACTCGCGGGAAATATCTTGAATTTATTCTTTTTCACCTGTTGAAGGTAGGGAAATACATAGGGTGCAAGGCTAGAGTATTCTATTCGATAAACCCATTCTTTTGACAGTAAAATTACCAACTGCAAATCTTGCATTAACATATTTCGATAGACCACCAGACCATCCAACGGGGTTTGTGAAGCAGGGCTTCTTAAGCCATATTAAATCATTGTTCCTCATGTTTCATATTCTCTTTGATGCTCGATGCATACTTGTGTCCACAAGTCGAATACGCATTCCAGGCTTAGCAACCTTGGCTAAAGCGTGACCTTACAACCTTCGATTTCCCCAACGTCGAGCGGTAACTAATTCCAATGGTTTGCTAAGCCTTCCTTACCAAGAACGACTGTTGATACTCAAAGTGTTCAGTGGACACTAACGGCGGCTTCGTGGAGACATTATTGGTATAGCATATGCTGAGCAACAATAGTTACGTATGCCGCCACATTTTGTAGCTCAGCTTCTACACAAACGTGAGAAGCAATCGGCTGAAACAATACAGTCAATTGGATTGTCGGTGACCTTACTTCTCGCTCCGTATCTGAAGACTCTGAAACGCCTTTCCAAACTCGGTTGTTTGGGAGATTTTCGAACAGGATTGGATATCGCATTTAGCTCCATAAACTGTTACCTGAACGAATACTATGAATGCATTCAGCATAACTTAATTGACTGAAAATATAACCCACAAGTACGCACGTATATCTGTGCAGATTGGTGAGCGATACAATGTTTCTTTGCCATTGTCATTAAACATAACTTATTAATCCGTTTTGCATGAACCATCTCCTCCAAAACATTATTTTTATGTCATTACTCGATCAATTCACTGATGCGCGGTTTATTTGGTCCACTTATGTAGTATTCGAATTAACAATTCCTTCCATTACTAAACTACCGGACATGTTAAGCTTGTGCATATTGCCCTGCATGAACCACTGTTTTGTTGTTCCATTGTTATAGAATGCTATTCCGTTGGATTGTAGAGTGTTGTTCGTGCACACTTACGCCGCATTATAAGCGGTACTTAGGACGTGTCATTTAAATGCTTTGAACCAAAACAACGGTAACATGATTCAGTATGTCATTTTCAGAAACACCCCAGTTTTGATTACAAATTTTAGACACCTCACCTTCGTAAATCTCGAAGGAAACGATCTGAAAGGTATTTGCCCTGGAATTGTACGTCTTTCCTGCCAACAGTTGACAAAGCTACGTTTGGATCTTAATCCGATGATTCATCCGTTGCCCGGCGAAATATCATTTGCTGCTGGGCACGTTCAACGCCTGCAGACTCTTGCTGGATTGGCGCTGAATGCATACGTTTCTGATTTGAAACGCGCTTTATCCTTAGAGATGGACGGGTTGTGGAAACAGAAGGTGTTCACTACAGCGTTGACGGATGAGATTGATGATCTACAGTCAATGCTTTCACGGATGCAAAGTTGTGTATACAAGTGAGTTTCCAACGGAATCAATATGAATTAATTTTAGCGGTGCTTAATGATTAGCAAGTTACAATGCCAGAAAATCCATTTAGAAGAAATAAGTCCGATAAGACTCGAGTAGCCATGTCTGCTTAAAAGAATATTCACTGAGATGAATTACCTCGCGCGTAGCGCTGGATTGTTGAGAAGTTTACAGAAATGTCTGTCTGGTTTCTTCGATCACATTCTATTAAATAAGTAGTAAGAACATTTTGACTTTGACGTGCAAACGAGAATCTTGAACACTGTTTTATTAGATAAAATGGATTCGAACACCTTCGATTACTTCAAGTTAGACCTCTGTGTTTAATACATAGATATGCCCTGGTTAATACCTACCGTGGAAGCGCAAACTGTACGCGCCAAGAGAACGGTAAGTTAATCGGACCTCGATCTTCTGCCGGCGTCTATCGGGTAGCACGAAACACAGCAAAATCCACGCCAGCCAGTTTAAGGCAGTTGGACGAATACATTAAAAATAACTTTAGTGGGCATCTTCTAACTTCATTGGATCTTTCGGCAACCGTCACAGGACAGATCAGTAATAAAATGTGATTTACAAAAGATCTTATCATCTTAATAAATCAGATATCTTTTCCAGGGCGCAATTCAAGCGTAACAAAATGCGTACCTAACTTCTATACTAGTTTTTGGATTCAGTAGTTGTAAACACCCCACTAATATCTGAATTTATTAAATGTATTCTCCTATCGATGCGCAGCTTCTTATTAGGAGCTTTTCACTGACCTCTATACTGCTTTTCCAAAAACAACTACAATGTTCAGGCATTTCCGTATGAAATACCTCAAGCTGGTATTCTTAGGTCTTTAGCTAATCGACAAGTAATAGTTCCGGATTATAACCCTTAAGGGTTTTGCGTGGTTCTCCGTAAAATGTATGCTAATGCTTATGCGATCCCACCATTTTAAGTGTAAGAGTGGCAAGTGTGATAAAGTCACTAGCTTGTCTATCTGTAATCAGAATGCAGCTATGAATTTATGAGCTTCACCGATGAGTAGTTGAAATACGTCGAAAGCTCGTATCAGGAGCCATGGACCGGTGCGCTGTAATTAAACACTATCAGCAAATCCTATATTTGCCACATAACGTTTGTCACTGGCTACTGAAGTACAATTTGCTGTAGTTTCAACAGCGTAATTGCAGCGGACAGCGTAAGAGAATCATGAAAATTGGTTTTCGGAGTTCTGCCTCCTGGAATGTCTTCCTTCTAAGGAAGTTCAATAAATCGCCCGCCTAATCACTGTTATCTTTTAGATATACCTACTGTAAACTTTAGCTAACAGTTACTTTCTTACACTCGTTTGTTGTTGCACCTTTCCTTTCAAGCATTCAATTGGACTGCTGTTCGACTAACTAATAAGAGACAATGTCATTTAAGACCCAATATTAAAGATTATACATCGGCCATAATTGTTGCAGCTTGATATTGCAATTACCTCTGTTAACTAGATCGTTGCATGGCGCACCGTTAAGAGACTCTAGTAAAACACAACTACTCACTGCGCGTCTTTTAATTCGTAGCGAAGTTTGATTATTGATAAAGGGTCTGGTAGCTATCTTTGCTCCCTGGCTCATGCCATTTGGGGGGATCAGAAGTCAGTGCAAGCAAATATATGTTTTCGATAGTTCCTCATCAGGCTTCTACCGTTATATATAAATAAAAAAACCAAGATGGGTGGACAGACGTTACCAGACGTTAGTCCAGAAGCAAATTAAACTGGCAATGGAATTGACAGTGGATGTCTGTTAGATCACGACAATTGGCCTAGCGGGTCAGAGGTTGTAAGGCGTCTTGGCCAGCGTAGTCTCAACTCTCTAGTTAGCTTCTTCTGGCTATCTAGCTCCTGGTCACACAGTCGAATGGCTTTCGCTTCATCAGCTTCTAGTATTCTTTTACACACGTACTTCGATCGGTTTACTGAAGCTTGATAGATAATTTTGAAAGGGTCAGCTATTTTAGTGGCATGCCGTATGTCAGTGAGGCGCGCGGCTATTTAAGAGGGTTGCAACTACCGTGGCCCAAACACCTGACGACCTCTGACCAGCGAGGTCAGTTGTCGTAACCTAATGGATAGCCAATGCTAAAACCCACTTTTAGTATTTAAATCGCTCCTGGACTAACGACTGGCAAACCTTCTCCACCCATTTTGTCTTTATTTGTATATAACTGTAGAAGCCAGTTGAGGAATTATCGAAAACATATTTTCTTTTACGTCGACTTCTGATCTTGCTACGGGCTTTTTTAAAAACTTAGTGTGAGTTACGCACATCGATGAGAATAAGCTAGACGAAAGAATATTTACACTGATGCTCCCTGTTGTCGATCCGGCACCATTGGGTAGCTATTGTCTTATGATTTTTAACATGGTGGGACTATGAGTCAAGGCAAGTTCCCGAACATGCACTGCGAGCAAAAGTTTGGTTTTCAAGGCGCACATTTTACACACCTATCTTTAGGGCATTTCGAAAGGCCATCACAGCTCTGTTACACGTTTACGATGGCAACCGCCTCACATAAATCTAAGTAAACGCTAACTCGAATAGAAGAGAAAGTTCTCATTATGTGGATGAACGATTTGTAACAAGTGGGTAAATGAACTTTATCAACAAGCTGCGTAATGGTTGGATACACAGCTGCGATGGATTCTCTAAATATTTTCCTCACTTATGCATGTGCTGCAAATCCGTAAGACCGTTTCATCCATGCTGCTCGGTCAGCTTACTTCAATTCCAATCATTTGAATGATGTGAAGCACGTATTTTGCAACTTATTGATCGAGTCAGTTAGATTAAACATAGCAATATGGACAGCAATTTAATCCTGGTGATTTCTATTTCTGACTAGATTCGACAGTTTTCCTGTGCTGCCAGAATAGTTATCACGAAACCTTTGATTACTTTGAGTTTTACTGCTTTCTTGAACTAGCTTTATGACCCTTGAGCAATATCTGGAGTCAGTTTCAACGATCATAAATGGTCAGGTAAAAGCGTAGTGACATCTGTCAAATTACTTGCTTAGGCTTTTACGTATAAAAGCGCATCATGTATCTTATTATCTGCAATTTTTATGGTGCCCTTATTTAGAACAATTAGGACAAGACACGTTTTTCTGTCTACGAATTTTGGAGCGCAGCAAGTTGTGTAATTAAACCACAAGGGAAGGCATGACGGCTGTTTGTTCTAATGTAGAGGCAGAGGTCAAAACACCACCTTTATTTGCACTTCTCTATTTACAGGATGACATGTGGATCTTGTTGTTGGTGCTCTGGTGTTCGGCTTTGTGACGAAATGCAAGTTCCTTGGCAAAATGTGACGCTCGCTGGTTATCGCTCCGTTCCTGTGATTTTCAATTGTTGTCGGCAGAGTTGTGCGGTCGCTGCATCCAAATGCACTCCGGATGATTTCGCCGCCAGATTTTGCTCCACACTCAGCACTTAACAATCAGTTGAATGATCCCAGAACATGTTCTCTTATCAGCACTTAACTAGACAGTGTTGTAATTCTTCAAAGTTTCCCTGAAAAATAAAAAGTTGAAATACATGTTGCAGCTGCATTGAATAAGCCAACACCATGTGTGTGACTATCTGATTGTTGGGTTGTATATGTCCTGCGATGATCCACACTAACTGTATTTGGGGGCAACTAGAAGTATTTTATCCAACTTTGTGAACGCGATGAAGATGCTCTGCATTTGTACCTTGATTGAGATAAGTTAGAATGTTACAACACATCGTTTCTATATTCTCTGCATATCTTCATGAAAGCACGAAACGGTGCCTTTATTAATGCTCAGTGCCGTGGGATTAGTTGCAGAAACGGGGTGTACTATGTAGCCTACAGGAGAGAGTTCGAAGGTAAGTAGGACGATTAGGAGTCAGAGAGTATGTATGTGGTTGTTCGCGCCTTGGTTTCTAACGTTTGGCCAGTTTCATTCGTTGGTTTGCGTCGATCGTTGCATCTGAAAGAGTGGTCTCTGTTACCCTGTGATACTTGTACACTTTTGATAGGTCGTATAAGAGGTAAAATCCTAGTTTGTATCCTCGGCGGCTTACCGATAACTGCTTGATTTCTATCGATCCCTGAAACTGGAACGGTGAAATTTTTTATCTATTGCCAGATCCTTGTTCACCTAAAATGAGTATTACAAGCCCTACAACCGGGTGACTAATCAATATGAATGCTCCTTACCTCAGTCAAAACAAGTAAATCAAAAAGAGACAGGAGGCCACTGAAACGCTGGCAAAACACCCTGCTTGTAACCCGTCCATTAACACGGAGAAGATGAAAAGCTCATCAGCTGAAATGAAGATAAAGCCGAAAACGCGCGTAAGAGTAAAAAAGCAATCTACTGATAGTTCGCATACGCTTTCTCTGATACAGCATAGCACAATTAATGCAGAATTGTCCTCTAAAGCGATTTAAACAATTGCTGCACTTGAACTAGAGCTGAAGGACTTCAACGAAGGATATGAACCTCTTAACTAAGTCCTAGAGCAATTTAAGTACCTTAAATATCTTTTAACACTCCAAATACACCAGAAATGGAACACCTTTGATCCGTTGGAAAGTATATACAACATATTGCATTTGAGGGTAATGAGCGCAGTAAACGCTCCAAAAATGTAATACCACTTATTTATCAGAAAATTTATCCCTTGAGGCTTTCTCCTCTGCAGTATCCAACGATTGTCGTATTGAAATACTGCAATTTTTTGTGTGAGGCTGCGAAAGTGGTCTTTGTAGCAGGTATGTCCAGTACATGTCAAATGTGCAGACGAAACATTTACTGGAAAATTCATTTGGAGTGGAAGCGTATCTTCCCTTTGAGTGATTACAACTCGGTGGTACTGAAACCAGATTTAACAGTACTACAAAAGGTGTGCAAGACTGCCTATTTCCGATAAACAGCCTGTGACCAATTTGTTCCGCTACCCACGGTAACTCGGGGACTTCCCCACGAAGTCGATCTAGATGAAAATTTGACCATAATTGAATCAAATCTAACCTTGAAATCGAATAGCAACTGCTGGAAAATATCGCTTCTGACTCCACTCAGTGTTAGGTTAGCTCACTATTACCGCGCGACTCGTCCCCGAACATACAAGAAAATTCCATTGCGCAAACGACTATTTCTACTCACTCTGTCCTTCATCAACCAGTTGCATAGAGGCTCTGGTTCGAAACCGAAAATCTCCTATTCAATAAGCTGTGCATCTCTAATAGATAAAACACTGCGGAACAGCAATGTTGTAGAGAATACTGGTAGCAAAATTGTCACGTGGCATCTATACGGGTGCTCCTAAACATAATAAAACACGGCTATTTTAAACTTTCCGCCGAACGCTGTTAGCACTGGAAGCCTGCGGACAATCGGCATAATGGCAACCATGCAGCATCTGAAAATGCAGCATGTGCTTTCCACAACCTGTGAGCTACTTGCTATTGAAATTCATGTAGCTGAGAGAAATTGGCCCAAACAAAATCCTCGCAAACTTCTTTAACATGTAAATAACCTTAGCAGGCAGGTAGGTTGCATGCAACAGCCAGCAAACTATAATCTCACAATGGGTCAAAATTTTCCTAATATTTCGCCCTTCCGAATTTTTCGAGGGGTCCAGGGGCTTTTTACTCCCCGCAACCCCATTTGTCACTAATTCCGAAACTTACAGGTTCGCCGTACTCACCAACCACACTTCACTCTCTCCAAATACCATCTAGTTGGGGTCCTGTACCTGGATTCCTTCAGACAACCCTACGGATAACAAGACACTGCACTGAGTGTTAATTAATTATCGTTAATTGTTACATAAAATGCACTTCCTACGTAATATTCTTCACCTTTCTTCTCCTGATATAGTACTAATAACAGAAACATGATGATCAACGGAGATGCCAGACACATTGTTCGGGATACTGGGTTATAACATCCTTCGTAATGAACGCCTTTATGGTAGAGCTGCTGGCTGTATAATCTACATCAGAGATCCATATTTGGTTCTTTCTCTGGATGAACCACTCCTACGGAAACTTCCTGATTCTATGTGAATTATCATTCTCTTAATCCAAAAACTTTTTTGGTTGGACTTACAGACCCCCGTTGTCTGCACTTACTGTAATCGATGAATTGATAGACACTTTTGGTTTTATTGCCGACCTCTCAAATCTAATAAAATAAAAGCTGGGGATTTTAATATTCCCGAAATTCCATAGTCCCTTAATCATGAACCAAAAAAAATTATTTTGATGTCTACTCTTGGTTGACTGGGATGGGTAGAGCATGTCAAAGAGCCTACTCGGTTTGGTAACACAATTCATCTAATATTTACTATGGGGTATTCACATGTGTCCACATACATCAGTGACAAAGTGCCGGGTAGTGATCATAACATCGTTGGTTGTTCTTTCTAACTTCTTTTTAAACCGATAGAATCAGTGATCAAATACCGTCTACTCTTATATGCGAATTTGTCAGCTTTCTCGGATCTTTAAGGTCTTCAGATTGGAATCCATTTTTCTTAGCATAAGATGTACAGATTGCTTGTGATAAGTTCTATTATCGTACTTGTGACTCCAGAACTTACCTGGAAGTTGAAAAGGACTGTTGCATCTGAAGGCAACTCGAAAAAGGTAGCCACTAAACTTCATAAAATACAGAACAATTTAATTAAAACCAACGATTTTACTCAACTGATGCTCCACACCAGTTTGCTAACAGTATTATACCATGAGCACCACAAAATTCTGTGCTCTGAGGAGGTAATGGTACTAAAGGGCCCTAAAGTGGCAGGCTGCAACTCAAAACTTTTGAGCCGTAGACGGAATGACTAATCAAGTTATATTAACTCGATTGTGAACGCTGATAGAACTGCCATGACCGAGCGCGCAATCATATGTTCGATCTTCAATGACTACTTCATGTCTACATGTAGCACTAATGCGATAGATGATCCTTGACTCAAGCTGCTACACAAAGGCAGTAAAATACTCCAAACTGTTACATTCAAATAGTGATATATATCGCCATCATACTCACCAAGACCTTACGATATCCCGTCAATCCTAGTCAAGCACGAGAATACAAACATCCCCCTGGTTTTGCTTTATGATTTTATACTTACCATGCTCAATAAGGAGAATCCTCCGCACTAGAAACAAGAAACTATAATACAATAACACAAAAGCGGAACTATGTAAGATGTAAAAAACTACCGCCTAATCCACCACATCTATTATCTCCAGATACATGGAGAAGTTAGTTAAAGGACGCATAGTAGAATCTTTGAGTTTTTTGAGCCTTCTCACTAAACATCAGCATGGTTTCTTTGAAAGGTGGGTCATGCACTACCTATCAGTCAGATACTCTTGATTACATGACTAGAGCAAGAGACACCGGAAGTGCCATCGTTGTAATATTTCTTGATCGCAAAAAGTCTTTCGACCTTGTCCCGCACGACTTATTGTTGCGGAAGCTTATGTCCTATGATATCACAAAATCGCTTCTAGAGTGGTTGTCTTCCTACCTTGAGGGTAGAAACAAAGTAGCCAAAATTGGCAACTATACATCTGGAGCCACCTCAATCTCTAGTGGATTGATCCATGTCAGCGTGCTAAGCTCGCTTTTACCCTGAATCGATTCCATCCATCGCCTTGATGAAACCTTGTACGGGAAGCAATTCCTCTTCCTGAGGAGCTTAAATTTTTGTATTGTTCTGCGCTTGGGCAACGTTGTCCTAATTTAGCCTGTTTTGAGTCTGACTTCTCCGCATTGGAGCACTGAAGTAACTCTTGGAAGTTGCACTTTGCCATTAACAAGTGTAATCTACTGTACCACGGTTGTGGCCCATCTCCGAACATACTAAACTTAAACGACACCCCTTTTCCTTTGTGTGGCCTAGTTCGAGAGCTTGGTCTAACTGATTCAGCCTCAGTTAATTTTTTAGAGCGTTATGTTCTTGCAGGCTACTTCCAGAAGAAATGATCGCCTACATAAGTCGAAATGTCATCTTGAGAGATTCCAGGCTTAAACCTTTAAAATATGTCAGGCCGAAGCTTGGGTACAGTATGATAGTTCACGGTAATCTAAGAAAAGTGGTTATCATAACGCTAAAAAACATTCAACGATCATTTACAAATAGGTTTTTAAACATGCCTTACGCTATGACATACCGTGAGCGTTGTGAGGCTCTAAAAGTGGAACCTCTATGGGTGCGCAGACTCAAACTTAATCTGTGCCTTCTCTACCGCTTACTATTCGGATTAAGCCTAACTGCTCAACCACAACTCGGGATTCAGACTCGTATGCGATATGAAATAAGAAACAGCGAGCGCGCATTGCAAATGCAAAAGTCTCGCATCAAGCTCCGCTCAAAATGTTTCTCAGTAAAATATGCGTTAATATGGAACTAAATTCCATAGAGTATTAGAAACTGCACTAGTTC